TGATATAATTGTAAATTTTAGTGTTTTAAAGTATGAGCGATTGTGTAATTGTTTACCTTTTTATTAATTTTGTCATGTTCTGTATGAAATTTATAGTGCTTGAAAAGGGCCTCATTATAAAGTGGCCGAAACGTTGCTTTAATAAATAATTTAAGTCCATTGGACAGCATCGCCGTTGGAGTCATACTTTAATATTGCAATATCCTGCTGTCGTCAGATTCATAGTATTACAAATAAATGGTACTTACCCAGATGTTTAAATTTCCTTTCCTTTAGGAAGCAAAGCTTTTAAGTGTGCGGAGTCGTTATGATTCTGTAAGTTCGGCCTACTCCAGATTATGCTGAGACTTCTTTTTCTTTGTTATTAATTTTTTATATCAACCGAAATCGATTTGACATTCAAATCAATAATTAATCGTTGTATGTGATTCCATGAGGTCGTTGGAGATTAGATGCTTAGAATTTTAGTAATTAATAATAAAATAAAAGTACGACCAAGTAAGCGCACTGGGTCGTTGGGGATTAGCCGGTTGAGATTGCTTAGAATTTTAGTAATTAATAATAAAATAAAAGTACGACCAAGTAAGCGCACTGGGTCGTTGGGGATTAGCCGGTTGAGATTTTTCTTACCCATAAATAAAAAAAAGTGCGGCCAAGTAAGCGCACTGGGTCATTGGGGATTAGCCGCTTGAGATTTTTCCTACCAATAAATAAAAAAAAGGGCGGCCAATTAAGCGCGCTGGGTCGTTGGGGATTAGCCGCTTGAGATTTTTCTTACCAATAAATAAAAAAAAGTGCGGCCAAGTAAGCGCACTGGGTCGTTGGGGATTAGCTGCTTGAGATTTTGGTAATTAATAAATAAAAAAAAGTGCGGCCAAGTAAGCGCACTGGGTCGTTGGGGATTAGGCATTTGGGTTTTATGTGTTCGGGCTTTGAGCGCTGTGTCTTTGAGTTTCGGACGTTCAAACGACGCGCAGTCGCTCGGCAAATCGGAGGCCGGCTGCGCACAAGTGTGCGCGAGTTCTCAGCACGATCTCGGCACACTGCCTGCGGCCAGGCTTGGTTGCTTTATTTAAACCATACGTGTACGGTGCTGAAGCACAAGTAGAAGACACAACGTCGAACGTGGGTATCTATCTCTCTCGCACATTCTTATCTTTGGCACTAAGCGAGAGACGAATTTCCTCGTTCGATGTTGTGTCTCCTTCTACTTGTGCTTCAGCGCTGTACACAAGAATGAGCAGTCTACTTTTCTTATATGTCGATGATTTGGACCATGTGTTTAAGCTGGGCTGCCCACTTTTATTTCCACTCGGATAATAGTCACTGTTTAAAAATTCTGAGATACCTTTGGTTGCTTCATAGTCCGTGGTCGATCAGACATTCACCGGGGAAAATTTTTCGGATGAAAATTTTTGATGCCATCTTGTTCGAAATGTGTCACTGTACCTAGAAGTGCATGTTGCCAGATCAAAATGTGGTCACAATTTGTTTAAACAATTTTTTTATCAACAATTTCGTCAAAGTGGTTTTTTTCGTCTAAAAAAAATATTTTCATATTCTTTGTCTCATTTAGAACAAAAAAACTAATTGGGATGTATATACCTAAACCCCACAGTTTTTGAGTAAAAAATTCTTGAATTCAAAATAAGGTAAAGTACCCTCTATTCAGACACATAATTTTAGGTAATCCGCTATTTCTAAATTCACAAAGAAATTAGCTGTTTTCGCGAAAAAGGCGGTTGACATATAGATAGTTAAGTAATTTTTCTGTCACTTAAAAAAAAAAAAAAGATTTTTGTGACCGTGTGATCAATGTTTCAAATAAATATAAAGATTCAGTCTCAAAACCCCTATATTCGGACAATGCATTTCTAAATAGTCCGATTATAGGTCCCGTTACGACGTAGGGACCATAATCCGGACAGTCGTTAACATTGAGAAAATGAGGTTATGGCAGATCTTTATATACAGTTATATTTTACTTTAATGGCTTTAATTTGTTAAACAAATGCGAAAAACAAATTATTAATGTATTTTACTACATAGTATAACCATTACTTTGCACTCGTAAGCAAGTGAATTGCTGGATTATGTGTCCGAATATGGGGTACAGTTTGAACCGTAGTATCTAATTTCTGGACAGCAGCTAAACACAAAAAACCTCGATTTGCAAGAAAAAACATTTCTTTTAATGAATTATTAAATTAATTCGACATATGTTGTAACTATCCTAAATCAATTCAATACTGTAGATTACAAATAAATTTTTTCATTCAGAAATTGTAAAAAAATTATGTAATTATCGCTGCTGTCCGGATATAGGTCCGAACAACACCTTTGTCCGAATACAGGGTACTTTACCTTAGGCGAAATTGGCTATTTTCAGCGCTTAAAAACTATATGAAAATATCAATTTATTTATATGGAAAAAATTTTTAAAAATACTTTGATACGTATTCAACAATGTCCTGGGAGTATGTTTCCTTGTTTTTCAGTTTAAGCCCTTGTTTTTTTGATTTAAAGAAAGTCGTTTCCGCGCGCACCAGCGAGGCGCACTTTACCACGTATATATCTATATGTATGGTTATGCTTGCACTCGCGCGTTGCGGGCAAGTTATATAGTAAATTGCGACGCAACTTGTTTGGGCAAGAAAGTATTATGCTTATATTTTTTTGTCAGTTTTACTGTAGTATTCGAAAGTATTAGACTGTATAAAGTTCGTAATTGTTCTATGAATGAGAGAATTTTATAAAAGAATGTTTCATAGACAAAAATAAGAGAGTTTTGGATCGCCTTTCAAAGGTAGTAGTANTTCAGATTTATTAACATTAAAAGATAATGGAGAAAAATTGTTACAAAATTTTATAAATGAATGTTTCATGGACAAAAATAAGAGTGTTTTCGATCGCCTTTCGAAGGTAGTAGTAAAAAATTTTAATTATTCTGAAAAATCTAAAACTGTTAATTAAATATGATAAAAAAATTCAAGATACTATAGAACTCGTAGATATACAAGAGTATGTTGCGCTTTTAATTCAAAGAGATTTTAACATCACAGAAGTGGCTAGGTATGAACTGCTTGACTATCCCAAAGCTCTTGCAGATGCTGATGGTTTCTTTAAAAAATCAACAAAATCGGATCTTATGGATGAAATAGAAAAAAAAACTGAATGTGCTCGAAATATTGCTACTATAAATTCTTCTTTGAATCCTAAAATACACATTTTTGATGGGATGGTAATTGTCCATTTATTACAGTTAAATAGGTTTTCAACATTTGATGAATTTGCTTCTGCCTTTTTTCATGATATTGTTTCATTTTTTAAGCAATCCACAGTTTCACGAATTGATGTTGTGTTTGATAGGTACGATAATCTTGACGTGAAACATCTAGAAAGCTTATTGGGAGCAAAAAATTGTCAAATATCGGAGGTAGTAATTCAACATCCTAACTTTAAAATACCGAGCAATATTAATATACTCCTAACGAATCCAAAAAATAAGTTACAATTAGTCAAATTTTTATGTCAAAATAGTTTTAGGCATAGTTAAATATTATGACTACTTATTAGAACTTGCCCGCAACGCGCGAGTGCAAGCATAACTATACATATAGATATATACGTGGTAAAGTGCGCCTCGCTGGTGCGCGCAGAAACGACTTTCTTCAAATCAAAAAAACAAGGGCTTAAACTGAAAAACAAGGAAACTCCCAGGACATTGTTGAATACGTATCAAAATATTTTTAAAAATTTTTGCCATGTATATAAATTGATATTTTCATATAGTTTTTAAGCGCTGAAAATAGCCAATTTCGCCTATTTTGAATTTTCAAGAATTTTTTACTCGAAAACTGTAGGGTTTAGATACATACATCCCAATCAATTTTTTGTTCCAAATGAGCCAAACAATATAAAAATATTTTTTTTAAACGAAAAAAACCACTTTGACGAAATTGTTAATAAAAAAATTGTTTAAACAAATTGTGACCACATTTTGATCTGGCAACATGCACTTTCAGGTACAGTGGCACATTTCGAACGAGATGGCATCAAAAATTTTCATCTGAACAATTTTCCCCCGTGAATGTCTGATAGGCCCCGGACTATCAGATTAAAAATGTCACACTGAACAGAGAGTTTAAAAATCAACAGTTAGGAAAAAAAAAGTTTTTGTTTCATATAAGTGGATTATTACAATGGGAGTTAAATAAAAGAATTCAATGGCTACAAGGATTATTGCAATTGCCACCATGATAAATAACACTTACTATTTTTGTAATCTACTTTTTTTTTTTTTTTGTTACTACTGCTGCTCACAATTTTTTTTGTTTAATGCCATTAACTTTTCTTAACTACTGTAAGTATTTCAACAACTATTACTAATAAAACTACCATTTTGCTTAACTTCTAATGCAGTAAGTAAGAACAACTATGTAAAGAGATAAGAACTCTAAAATCCAATCATCGTCATGTGGTTTGTATATGAAATTAAGGAAATTAATAAAAAAAATAGTAAAGGTTTTTATTAATTAGTTGTAGCAAAATTTATACTTTAATTTTGTCAGTACCGTATAAAGAATACGTCCTTGTAAATAATAATGCACTGAGTCTATTTGCACAAAATCCATGTTAATAAATAGATTTTGTACAGTAGAGATTGTACCAGGAATAGTGTAAGACTGGTATCATTGTTACTCAATTACATAATAATAATAATAACAATAATAACAGTAGTAATGAAAATAAAATACAGTTACAACACAAGTTTCTAAGAGAGCACGTTCAATTGACACGAGATATCCTACAATACCTGTAAAGTACCCTTTTTTGTTTTTATGTTAGAGTGTACTAACCTCACAGGAGTATGTACACTAAGTACTAACAACAATATTTTAACACTTGGAAGCAGAAAATTAAGAAAGTATTTAGAATTCTTGAAAAAAAAGAAAATTTATAACTTTGTGTTTAGGCAGCAAATATTTGTTTATAATTACCGTAAGCTTTTCTCTCCGCTTTTCAGCAAAATTTTTTTTTGGTTTATATCGCCGATGTCTTCCCATTTCTTGATAACTTCAAAAAGGCAACTAATTCTTATTTAAGAATACTGAAGTCATGAAACGATTGCAAAAAGCGACACGGATAAACCGCCGTCTATACATGGAAGGACAAATTAAGGGTGCAGTCCCAGGTTACGACATAAGGATAAGATTCGTTCGCTGATCGGGCCTTACCATAGGCTCTGTTCGGAAATAATGCGTTGGTTAAGTTTTTGGTTGGTACCTACCCCTACCCTGCCTTAACTAACAGACCGTGCGTGTGCGTTCGCACATGTAAACAATAGTTAATCAGCTGGTCACGTTTTGGCGCACTTTGAGTGCTTTCAAGTTCTCTCTTTAACCTTAAAAGGGCTTAAAGTGACCCCCTCTCCCCCAGCCCAAGAAAGTGTTGAAAAAAAAAAAAAAAAATTCAGTTAGAAAGAACAAAAAATGCACCCTCTGATTACACAGTTTGTTTAAATTGAACCCTCATAAATTTTGTAGAAAAAAATTATTACCAGTTACCAAGTTGCCTTGTTTTAAACCTCCGATATCTTTGGAAAACACTTGGAATCCCAAGTGGAATTCCAAGTAGAATTCCAAGTGACTTTACAAGTGTAAATACAGATGAAACTACACATGTGATGACAAAATATCAATCAGTAGGGGTAGATTAATGTTATATTATTGTTAATGTTTATCAAATTTTCGTGGACTACAATAAAAATATTTAAGTTAACTCTATATGTTTATGGTAAAGTAAAGCTTTTTAAAAAGGAAGCATAATTTCAAATACGAATCATTTTCATCATAATCATATTTATCTATCATAACATAAAATATGACATATGTCCTGCAGTATTACAGTCAATATTTAAAATATTTAGCACCGCAGACGAGGAGAGTAAGTTTTCATATGGAATATGTTTTGTTTATTTTGAAAACAGTTTACTGTTAACAGCGTTGGGTTAGGCGGTTTCAATATCGGAACTTTTTCCCTAGATCGTATATATAGCTATACGATCTAGGGAGAATGTTCCGTCAAGTAGACAGCACAGCAGTGAAAGGGCATTGCCAAAGACGCGCGAAAATTAAAAATTGTAATATTATAACACAAGTGCTTATCACCCAATGACCCGGGGCCCGGGGCGCTAACTGGCCTCTCTATTGAACAATAAAGTATTAATTATTAACACAAGCGCCTATCACCCGATGACCCGGGTCGCTTACTGGCCACTCTGTGAAATAATAAAATATAAACAGCACAAGCGCCTATCACCCAATGACCCGGGGACCGGGGAGCTAACTGGCTACACTATTATATGATAAAATATTAATTATTAACACAAGCGCCTATCACCCAATGACCCAGCGTGCCTACTTGCCACTGTATAAATTAATAAAAAGTTAATTAATAACCAAAGGGCCTATAACCAAGTGACACAGGGCGCTTACTGGTCACTTTATTAAACGATATATATTATTAATTTATAGCACAAACGCCTGTCACCCGATGACCCAGGGTGCTTACTGGCCTCTCTATTAAACAATAAAATATTAATTAACAGCACGAGCACCTATCACCTGATGACCGTTGTGCTATTAGTTGATACTATATATCGTTAAATAAAGCAACCAGTAAGCGCCCCGAGTCATCGGGTGATAGGCGCTTGTGCTATTGATTAATAATATATATCGTTTAATAAATAAGCGACCAGTAAGTGCCCCAGGTCACTAGGTAATAGGCGTTTGTGTTAATAATTAATATTTTATTATTTAATAGAGAGGCCAGTAAGCGCCCTGGGTCATCGGGTGATAGGCATTTGTGTTAATAATTAATACTTTATTATTTAATAGAGAGGTTAGTTAACGCCCCAGGTCATTGGGAGATAGACGTTCGTGTTAATAATTAATACTTTATTATTTAATAGAGAGGCCAGTTAGCGCCGAGGGTCATTGGGTGATAGGCGTTTGAGTTAATAATTAATGTTTTATTATTTAATAGAGAGGCCAGATAGCGCCCTGGGTCATTGGGTGATTGGCACTTGTGTTATTAATATTACAATTTTTAATTTCCGCGTGTCTTTGGCAATGCCCCTTCACTGCTGTGCTGTCTACTCGACGGAACATTCTCCCTAGATCATATAGCTATATATACGATCTAGGGAAAAAGTTCCGATATTGTATCCGCCTAACCCAACGCTGATACAGGATCCGTACCATATAACTCTTTCCGCTTCGTAGGCCTATGTTTTAACATAGGCCCTCAAAGCGAAGAAAAGTTATATGGTACGGACCCTTTAGTAGTAGTACACTACAGCGTATGTACACCATAGAGATATTATAGATAGAGTAGGCAAGCCACCGATTCTTCTGTAAGTGGAAGCGTTAACACGATTAAAAGAGGTGCAACATCGAGCAAACTTTCTATCTCTCTCTGTGGTCGCTACTGATTGCCTATGCCAACATATACGTAAAACGTCTGTAGCCTATCAGCAGCGAGCACAGAGAGAGATAGAAAGGTGGCTCAGTGTTGCATCTCTTTTTAACGTGTTAACGCTTCCACTTACAGGCTTGCCAACTCTATCTATGAGGCTCTTTTACAGTCAAGCTTGAATCAGATGGCTCCAAGGAACGTCACGGCTGTCATGGACGTCTCACTTACACAACATTACTTTTCAGTATTGTATGTATATAGGAAATTAAAGAATAGTGGTAAAGCGCTATATTTGAAATTTTGAAATGAATAAGGAAGACAAGAAAGAATATTATGGGAACTTAAAAGTTTCAGAATTAAAAAAGCTTTTAAAAGGGAAAGGAGCAAGAGTCAGTGGAAGAAAAGCAGAACTCGTGGAGGCAAAGTGGTCGAGGCATAAGCCATGACTTGAGAGCGGCAAAAATGTTCGTCTCCCAATTGCTTCGAGCCACTTTTTTTTCATCACACTATCAGAAGGAAATTTAAATTTCACTTTCTTATCGCAGGATATTACACTGCACTTCATTTTTCCTACTATCTTTAAACGTAAATGCAAACAAAAATAGTCTGCAAACAACAGCAATCATTTACAAAGGTTATGTCTTCTGCTTTGCTCATTACACAGATAGGCTCACGGACACAATACACAACTGTAAATTTGACGGTGTGTAAGTGCGACGGCCATGACAGCCGCGACGTGCCCTGGCGCCATCTGATTCAAGCTTGACTGTAAAAGAGCCTTGTAATATCTCTATGATGTACACTGGTAGTAGTGTAACACTACAGGGTATGCACACTGGTAGTAGTGTAACACTACTGTCGTCTGCTTTGTTTGTTATAACTTTGAGACCAGCATCAGCGCCATCTAACAGGACTCACACTCGGATGCTCCCGAATACCCATTCGGGTCCGAGTATTTTGAGCGCCAATGCCGCCAATTCATCGTGGCGAGCAGAGGAACCATGCACACGTTTTCTATTGGCTGGCAGCTTGTCGGCTCGGCTCGCGGGGAGAGGTAAGGGGAGATAAGTGAGGGAGACATAAGAATCCAAATGTGTGCATCGGTGATGGAGAGAGGAGAAGCTAAACCTATATGTATATGCATACAACGGGCAATATATCTATACCTATAGTTGTGCACTTCTCATACGGAAAAGAGCTGCGGGTATTACTTTTCTCTCTTTTTCTCCCTGAAAGAAAGATAAGCTTTTTTAATGCAGTTGATCATTCGTTCAACTATAATAAACAAAGACATAATTATCAGGTTATAAGCAATTTTTTTTTCTTCATTTTTAAAAAAATGATAAGCTCAAAGCAATTAAAATATTATTTTGCTTTATTAATAAACGAGCGCAGTTATCCCAATAATCCAGTGCGCTTAATTGTTCTTTACTTTCATGATAAAATTATTGAATGATAAATAAAGGCATTTACCACAACGACTCAGTACGCTCCAATATTTTTGTGTACTAAGTAATACTATTTATTAATGTACTGAAAGCCTTCACCCAAACGCCCCACTGCGCTGATATCTTGATTATTTAATTCATTTATTCATTTTCACCATCAATACATAGCTTAACGGCAGTAATGCGATAAAGCCTCAATTAAATCTTAAGCTTCGAAACTTTACGATAAACATATGTAACTTTTAGTCTTCTCCTGCCATATGCTTTGATAGCTCAGATGGCTACAGCATGAACGAAGAGTTAAGTTTTGAGTCTGCGGGTTCTAATTTCACGTGCAGCAATTTTTTTTTTTTTTTTATCATTACATTAATACTATAAATGTTTAACACTTCATTTTTATAATAACTTATGTATTTTGTTTTACCAGTGGCCAAAAAAATTTTTTTAAATTACTTTTTATGAAAAAGTAGAGTTATAAAAAAAGAAAGTCATTACAGCTTTGTTTGTGGTAATACCTATAATAAGTTACTATAAAAAAATACACGCACTCTCTGTAGTTTTTCCGGGCTTGAGACCGGCAAACTAAACGTGACCACATTACGCGTGCGTTTTTTTTTTTTTTTTTAATGTTTGTTGAGTGGTCGACGAATTTGTTGAAAATACTAGTCTAAGACAAATTAAATGATGGAACCTACTGATTAAGAAATACAACGAATTAATAAAAACTGCGATATTTTGTAACTCTTATAATTTGAAGTACTGATTTGTAAGTTAAATTGTTTTTCGAAAGCACTATAATTATTTCATTAAGCGATTATTTAACGACTTGAATTGAAAAATATAATACAATTCTCAGTGATGCATACATTATGTACAGTGAACAAAATTTTTACAGAAATTTAAATTCATGACTCCCATCGCTTTGAGACACTAATAAAGGACATATACTTTCTTCCACGTGTATTCAATCCCCTTACACCCCCAAGCTCCACAATTCTCACATAACAGGAGATTGTAGATAACCCAACCCCCAATTTTTGGCGCTCGACGTGTAGCGAGTTGTGTACGACAAAGTGATAGAAAATTTTTTTTTGTTTTCTTTCGTCGTCGGGAAGCACCCACAGTGAAGTGTAAGTGGAAATAAAAATAATTATCGTGAAACATCATATTGAGGTAATTAGTGAAATTAAAAAAAAAAAAATTTAAAAGAAGAAACAGTGAATAATAACAAGAAAAGAAAAAATACAGTGTTAAGGAGACACACGCGGTGAGACACGTGAGAAACAAGCAGGTGTCAAATATCAGCGTGGGCGCACAGCAGCCATCCAGGAGGCCGGCACCGTCAGGAAATAAGACAAGAGAGAGCCAAAACACGAAACTACACCACACCACGCACCCTCTGGTAGCAACATTTTTTTTTGGATGCTTTGTTTACGGACACGGAAATGCTTTGGATCATACTGCTTACAATACTGTCCAGGTAGATATAATTTATATAAACGGTAAATAATATTACTGCTGGGCGATAAGTTTTATCAAATTGGCCCATAACAAACAAATACAACCAAACAAACAAAAAAAAACACAAAAAAAAGAACCAAGCAAATAAAACAAAATGCAGTCGGGAAAAATTGATAACGTTGTAGGTGGGGCGGTGGACCGCTTAGCAGACGCGAAGGTCGTAACAGACGACAGTTTATGGTTACAATTTTGCCACGATCCCGAGGTGGTCAAAGAATTAGAAAAGTCGAACAAAAAAACAAAAGACTTAATTGAACAAATTTTTAAGGGCATGAAAACGGTCGTTCTAAAAGACAAGAAAAAAGAGGGCCGTAAGCAAATAATTGGAGGAAACCCTGCGTAGTGATGATAGTGGAGAGGAAAGGGATGAGTCAGATAGGGGGCCCGCTAGGAAGCAGCTTGGCAATTGGAGAACGGAGACAGAGTTGCTGCGGAGATGGTCAGAAAGGGAGGGGGGAGAAAATGAAAGAGAATTCCACAACAGAGATAGAAGGAAAGCTAAATCGATTCGGGAGTTCGAAAATTTTAAAAATAACCAGGAGAGGTAGGAGCAAACAACAGATGCACCTATACACAGATCGCTGCTTAACCGGGAGTATGAGAGAAATTATAAATTACTCAATTAAAGAATTGAGTACAATAATCCCCACAATACCAATATTTACAGGGGATCCAATAAATCTAACAGCGTTCACAAGGGTAGTAAGGGCAACAGGCTGGCAGATGGACGACAGAGACGTCCTATATTTTTTGGCAACGCTGTCCAGCAGGCTAAAAGGTTGAGCGACAGCACATTTAAACGATAGAATCACACAGTTTGAGTCTATTGAAGAATTTCTCGAGGAGGTTACAGAAATAAGGTACGGGGCCATCAGTAGCACAGAGACAGTTATGGCAAAAATTAGGTCGGAACGGCAAAGGGATAGGGAATTTGTGGAAGAATACTTAGATCGCATGCAAAAGTTGTTTAACAGGGCCATGGGACTTCAAGAAGCAAACCTTGAAGTTTCTGAAATGTTAAGGCAGGAATTTAAGTAAAATATTCAAAAAGAAGTAGTGACCCAATATATATTAGGCCTTAATCCCCCGTACTACTACGAAGTTTCAATGCATAGGCCGTAACGCTAACAAAGGCCATTACATTGGCATTGAAAGTCGAGGATATGATGGCTATGAAGTCACCTCGAGTGGACAGTAATCAATATGAGAGATGGGAAAAAGAATCTAACTAAAGGTAAGCCGAGGTAAACAAGTGTAACTATTGTGGCCGAATTGGGCACAAAGCAGTAGAAGAGTGTCGTTCATTGTGGCACGACATAGAAAAGGGGCTGCTAGTGAAGAAAGGTCGCGGTGAGGAGACCAGAGCACCGTACTATACAAGGTACCAGGATAGGGGTGAAGAAAGAAGAGGTGGAAGATCATATAATGATAGTGGAAGAAGATTCGAAGACTACAGACATATAATAATATGACTCAGGCAGAGAATAAATACAACTACGGCAGATATGGGAGGGATTTTGAAAAAGGGTATGCTTATCGCGAAAATAATAACAACAATAGCAATAGTAATAATAGATATTATGAGCCGAATGGTAGAAATTATAACCAAAGAGACAGTAGTAGGGATGATAGCTGAAATAATTATGATTGGAAAAGTAACGAGCGTTATGAGCCTAGACACACAAACGGGACACAAAACGCAAAGGAGGCTGAACCTAGACGGGGTGATATCTCTTGTAAACAGAAGCCGAATTTTTAGAACGATGCTCAAAGTACTCCCCCAACATCGAGCATCGGGAAAAAGTGGCTACGTATTGTAAAGGACCAAAAGTAAACGATGGAAAAATTGGAGAGAAAGAAGAAAAACCCATACAGTCGGAGGTCTGGGGAAAGGAGATAAACAAAATCAAAATTAATACTTGTCAACAAATCGAGCCAAATTTAAAAAAAATCTTAAAGATAAAAATATATCGATGGGAAAAGAGGACAAGAAAGAAGTCACGACGGTACTAATTAATTATGCAGCAGTAGGACGCAGACCGCCAACAGTAACGCTGGAGAGTGAGGATTTCCGAAATAAAAGATCATATTTCTATGCTGACACGGGTGCTGAGATCTCAATACTAAAGATATAAATATATAAAAGAAAATTCGCTATTGGATGAGAATGTAAAAGTAAAAATAATTGGAGTAACTCATGGAGAACGTGAAACAAAAGGCACGGTGGACACAATGATCCATGATATAAAGTGCACTTTCCACGTAGTCCCGCAGGATTTTCCGATCGAAGTAGACGGAATCCTTGGATGGGATATGTTTAAAAAATACAATGGCGAGGTGAGCACAAAAACAAATACACTTAGCCTAGGTGGTGTGGAAACCCCACTGAAGACGGCAGAATATTTCGAGATAGCAGCGTGATCCAGGCAGGTTATATATATGCAAGAGTCAAAAAAGAATTCGGAAATAAAGATTCAAGTTGGATTTGTGCCACTTCAAGATGTGGGAGAACATGTGAATTGTAGAGACTTTTACGGCACTAATAATACAGGTAAAATATATGCGGAATGCGTGAATTTTTCAAACAAAAAAAGGAGAATTACAGTACCGGAAGTGGATCTAATAGAGTGCGAAGAAGTGAAGAAAAGGGAAATAACTGGCAACGTGGGGGACGGCGCCAGAGAAGAAGAGACTGCATTTGTGGGCTTGCTCGAGGAAGACAAATTGGAAGAAAAAGAAATAGAAAAAAATTACAGATTGAGATATGAAAGCGTAGATGGAGATAAAGAAATGGACACGTACGTGGAAAAAGACTGTGATACAAAAAGTGTCGAAGAAAGAATTGAAAAATCATGATACTGATCGACACTGAGGGCTGTAACGAAGAAGAGTTACAGCACGTAAGAAAATTAATATCGATGAATCCGTTTGTGTTTGGGTTGGACGGGGAACCGTCAAAAACAACATATTTAATTAAACACAAAATAGAGACTACAACAAATAAGCCAGTAGTGGTCAGAAGATATAGATACCCGTCCGCGGTGAAGAAAAACATCAGGAGAGAAATTAAAAAATTGATGGATTTGGATATAATAGAACCGTCAACGTCCCCATATAACTCAAATATATGGATAGTGCCTAAGCCGCCAGGACAAAACGGCGAGAAGAGGTGGCGACTGGTCACGGATTTCAAACAGCTGAACGAAATAAGTGTTGGAAGCTGTTACTGACTACCTTTTCAAAGCGACATATTGGAACACTTAGCGGCCGCTAAGTACATCACAGTAGTTGATTTGAAGAGTGGATTTCACCAGATTAAAATCCAAGAAGAGGACGAGCATAAAACTGCATTCTTGGGACGTCCCGACGGGCACTATCGATATAAACGTATGCCAATGGGGTGCTCAGAGTCACCAAATTCATTCCTGAGGGCGATCACGTTAACTGTAGCCGATGTACAAGGGCGAGAAATTGAAGTATACGTGGACGACATTATGGTGTTCGCAGCAACTCTCGAAGAACACGAGAGACGCTTCAAAAAATTGATAGGAAGACTAGCAAAAGCAAACATGACCATAGATAGAGCCAAAAAAATGTCAATTTTTGAAGAAAATGCTTGACCGCTCGGACCTCCATATGCGAATGAATCTATGCTTTAAGATTTTCGAGATTCGAATTTGATTGGCTACCACAGACATATAAGAAAAATAGACTGCTCGTTCTTATGTACGGCGCTAAAGCACAAGTAGGAAGAGACACAACATTGAACGGAAGAATCTGTCTCTCACCTTTGGCAATGTTCAAGAGAGACAGATATCCACGTTCAATGCTGTTTCTCTCTCTAGTCATGCTTCAGCGTCGAACACAAGAACGAGCAGTCTACATTTCTTATAGGTCTATGCTCCCTACCAAACTATAGTAAAATTCTCTATGATAGATTATGTCGAATTTGATTTTTCTTTGAAGGACCCACGTGAGTGATATTTCTTTTGATCAGAACAATCAAGTTTGTCCGTGAATATTGTAAAAAATTATCCTATCGATTCGAAAATATTTTTTAATTGCTCGAACATTTTAAATCATTTCTTTACTTTGAATTGTTTATTCTGTAGTTAAAACTATGATAGGTTCTGGAGCTACTCCCATTGTCGTCCTAAGTAAGTTATGACTAAGAAATAAAAAACATACCTAAATGTTAACTGCTAAATATAATATTTTAGGTCAAAATACTAGACGTGATTATGGCAGGAAAGTTCAAAAAGAAAATATTCAAGCAGGCAAGGTATGGTTTTACTTGTACTACTTTAATAATGCTCTGTTACAAATTTAGAAGCGTGATTTTGAACAATCGTTTGAAAAATTTTATATTTGTATATTAATGGCAGTTTACGTGCCAACATTCAAAATTATTTATTGAAGTTGAAGTACGAAATATCCTGTGTTAATAAAATTGTGATGCAATGGTTTTACAGGATAATTGAGTTAAGCATTATTTGAAATAAGTTCTCGTAATACATGGTCTGATCTTATACTTTTTAATAACATAAGGATGCAAGCTTGCCATAAATTTGCAAAATTTGCCATACGTAGTTAGCTGTCAAATTAACATGGAAAAAAATTTTTTTTGAAGGGTTGGCAAGGTTAAACTTCGGTGGTAGTAAACACAAAAAACTAGTATTGTGTCCACGACATTGTGCAAGCCTTATTACTGTTACTGCTAAGCTAAATTATTATTTTTTTATTACCTTTAACTTATTACGGAAGTATTTTAGTAGGTAACAAAAACTTTTCAAATAATTACTTCAGTAACTCATTAATTTTGAGAAAACTCTCAAGTTAATTAATGTGTTGTAGGAATAGAGAAAACTATTCATGAGCAGTTTATAAATCTTAGTATCACAAAGTGTAAAAGTTTTGTCATATTCTGCAATGTTAAGCCAACAAAAATCACAAAATTTTTAGTGGTTACCTTTTCAGTTTTATACATCTTGTTATTACTTTTTTTATTAAAAATTACACAGAAACCTACATTTGTACAAAACTTTACCGAGTTCTTTAAAATGGTTAAGGTTCATTATCTGGAATTTATAAAGGAGGATCATATTTATCAGGACATATAGAGGATATAGATCATTAGTATATGACAGTATACTGGTTTAAATAGATGCAGGTTGATAAAGCCTCGTAAAGTAGTTAACAAGGAATTTTTTTGGACCACACAATCGGAAATTACTTTAAGAAATAAAAATAATACCCAATACTAAGTATTATGAAAGTCCAAATTTGGGACGAGTAATAATATTTATTCTGTAGCATTTTTTAGTATCAGTAATTCTTTTTGTTGTAGTTAATAACATTCTGGAAACAGAGAAAAGTAGAAAATAGGACAAACTTTTATCAAATATCACTATTATACACTCGAATTTTTAAATTTATCGAAAACTAATAATTAATAGGAGACTATTTAATTATATTATATATACCAGATAAAAAAAATGTAATTATCTTTGCAACCACAACTTTTAATATTTACTTGTGACAGATCATTGGGATTTATAGGTTTGATAAGTTGTCTCATACCTAGACTTTATAAACAATTATCTTTTTACTTTCAACTAGTTGTTTGAAAAAGTTATGAAAAAATTGATAAAATATAATTTACTCTTGGGTGCTACAAATATTGTTCTGATTGCATCGTATTACAATCAGAATACAAGGAAAAATAGTTTTGGAGCATGGTCGCGTCAGCTCTTTTTATTATTTTACAAATAGTAAAAGTCAATCGGAATTTTTTTTCGAATTTCGCTCACAACTTTGTTTTGGCAGCACATAGCGAAAATAGCTAATAACAATTGATTCGTTTTGTGATTATCGGTCGATCAGTGCTATTTGGATTATCTGGAACCTGTTTCTTCCAAAGTAATAGGGCTAAAAAGTGTAAAAACCACCGTTTACAACTTTTTTAATGTAGACAATGACGTAACAAAAAAAACAAGTATCAATTTTAACATTCATTTGGCTGCATAACTTTTACAATATGACACGATCAAATTTTTTAAATAAATTATATTTAAGATACTAGGAACATTCATGTAACAGAAATTTTTTTTTTTTTCTTAATTTGACCCCTATTCTTTGTACAATTCGATTTTGCAACTTTCACTAATCGATATAGCTCCGACGTTTTATATTTTTCCGTCAAGCAACCCATTCAAATCATTAAGTATATTTTCACACGAATTAAAAAAAAAAAAAAAAACTGCGATAATGCCGTTTAGTAAACAGTTATTGTCAATTTAGTGTTAAATACGATTGCTTGTATCTCAACTATTATTTTTACTGAAAAAAATTTTTTTCCGCTCCTGCAGGCTATTTGTTGTTAATTTATATAAGTTGATTCTTACATTATAAAATAATTGTTGATTGACAACAAATAAAACAAATTTTATTCACAAAAACTTTGACGTTCTATTAACTATACCGTTCTACGAACGGTGGGTTGCCTGCATTCAGGCATTTGCTAGCTGAGTAAAAAAGTCATATTGTTTCATAATAACTTTTTGAAGTTATACTTTTACGGGCGCGTTACGCACCCGTAGCTCAGTCAACGAGGCTCTTCTCCCCTCGGTAACAGAGATTAGTAGAGAGATTGCTGACTGCAATGCCACGGCGGAAATTCACTTTTTGCTACTGTTTCGAGACCCCTGGCATAGCCAAGTGGCCGAATTAGGCGCACATTTTTTTTTTTTTTTCAATTTGAAAGGTGAGGAGAGGGTATGCCGAGTGTGTGCCTACAGATTCACGTGGAAATGGGCATGTAGATGCATACTATAGAAACGCGTGGAAGGGGGATCCTAAATTTTACGCCTACAAAGAGAGGAGTGGGAATGGTAACTACAGCTACTTATATAGCTATGACCGCGTTAAGCGTATAAAGAAAGTAAACTACGAGAGTGCGAAGTGCGACGAGTCTTTCTCGTTAGACTTCTTAAATGATATTTTAGAAAACAAGGAGGAATAGAGAAACAAAAGTTTCGGCATCTTATGTGTATAAAATTAAAAACCTTTTCTTTTATTTTACAATTCTCTATAACATATTAAAGTTGAAGACAGGCTAGCTACATGATTTTTCGAAAATTATGTCATACAACAAAATGCTTACAATTGTAAGCACATACTTTCAAGGAATTTATTCTTTAATCCTTCCTGTAATTAGGATTTCTTTGCATTCAAGTTTGGTATTTTACTAAGATTGATAAAACGATTTCTAATTTGTAATTTTAATTTCATTCTTAACAAGATCTTATTTCATGCAGCACGAAATAGCACATCTTCTTTTTTGGTACATTCCCTAAGTTTTTGTTTTAAATAAGACAATTTTACTTTAAGGGGGCTCCTACGACTACTGCTGAGGTCAAAGACAAACAAAAATAAAGTTTTGTTTTTCAATAAACAAATGTGTCTGAAAATCATTATGATATTTTTAATAACGTATGAAGTGGGAAAAATGATATTTATGTGTGTAGTTTAACTTTGTACGAAAAATTAATTATTGTTTTGACCAGTCTAGTGCATACGAGGGTACACCACCAGACCAGACCACCTGTGTTGGTGTAGTACAGCGATGTAATATATAGGTATATGGTGTATATATATATATATATATATATATATATATATATGTCGTGAACAAGTACGTCTGCTACCCACGTGACCTCCTGACCTCCCGGACACTATTTATTTATTTCCATCACAAATATCTCGCTAAAATGGTCCTTTATCCACAATTTTTAATACAGCATATTACAGAGAAAGACTTCATCTACAAAACGTATATATTCAGTCTGCTGGGACATTTAATTTAGGTTTATTATAAACGAAACAAATTGTTTTTCACGCTGCCCCATAGGAACACGTGCTAATAGTTACAACTTTGAGCTCGGATTTTTCAAAATTTTGACCCATTCGAAATATAATTTAGACCACCATTAAATTCAGTAGACTTTTATTTACAAGAAATAATATATCTCTGTTTAGGGACTTTCGTGAAGGAGCCCCCTTAATGTAATAAACATCATGATTTCATTGATAGATTTTACTAATCAGAAGTTATTATTTATTTGTACATTAAAATACTTACTGCGTTAATAAAAGTAAATGTAGTTTGGTTTGTTTTCAAATATCTTATACGACCGGATTTTTTCAAGATTTTTTACTGCAAATTTATTTATTGATAATATTCTGACTTTTAATTCATGCTCTTATGCATAGATTTAAGTAAGGCCTGCTTTTTATTAACAAATAAGGATGTGCTTCATTTTTTTTTTAATGGGTCTTGAAAATTCTTGAATATTTGAATAATATCGTTGGGTCAGCGCAACAAAAAGTCTTTTTAGAGTGGATGGCATAAGAAAGCTTTTTCAAATTAAGTAGCAAAAAAAGGTTTCTAAAATTAAAATTTGTTTACCTCTCACTTCAAGTTGGTAATAAAAATATGCATACATATTGTTACGTCGGCACGATAGTTTATTTTTGAATCTAAGCTTGCGCGTAATGACTCGGGACTCACACTGGGCGCATAGGTGGGACGCGGGGCTAGAGGGTAGTTAAATTAAACAAAATGGGGTATTTGCGAAAGGGGGCACGGTTGTGCAGTATCCCGATGCACTCACTGGCGGCGCGCCCAAAGTTTGTTGAAGTGACCCGTAGCGGCGTGTCGAATGGGTGGCCGCTCGCGATATAAAAACTACCAGTACCGTTACCAGTAAAAGTATCGTTTTTAGGAGTTACGTAGAGGGGGCCGATGGTATTTTAACTCTTGACCCGACTAGAATCTACCAATACCACCACGAGTAATGGTACTCGTTCTAGTTTTTACGCGCAATTCTACAGATTATTTAATTGACGGTATTCCACAAGTACCACTACTGTAGCGAGTAATAGTGTGCGCGTTAGAGTTTATTATTCCCCGTTGATCCGCGGGTACCACTACCGTTGCGAGTAATGGCGTACGCGTTAGAGTACATACCCATGCTGGAAAGAAAAAGGAAAAAATTAAATTAAAAATGTAATAAACTTTAAACATCTAATTTTATTAGGACCCAAAAAAACTTATACATGCGGCGAACCAGCGCGAGGTGTCCGTATCCGAAATTAAAACCGCACTCGTGGAAGACCAAGTAGCAGAAGCGGACTGGCTACCCAGTCGACCGTTCGAGGGTAAAACAAAAACCGTGTCCTTACCTCGTGATAGACTGGGAGGTAGCAGAAGCGGACTCTTAC